CACACAGACACACACACACTCCTTGCCCCTCTGCACGCTCACTCCCACACACTCCTACACACATGGTTTGCTCATATTATGGCTCCGTGGGACTATCCACTTTTCCCTCACTGTCTCTTGCGATCTAGAGCACCTGGAACCCCCTGTGAGCTGGCTCAGGGTGACTGGGAACCAAACCAGGGTTAATGAGACCGGAGCCCAGGTCAGATAATGGCATAAACATCATATGACATTTTAAGGCAGCGAGCGATGGTACCTTTTCTTGTTTGGATTATGTACTTGATTTTTTCATTGAAGAGAATAATGGAGTTGCTGGGGACCATAAATTCACAATGGCTAGTTTTACACACTTCCCTAAGGGAGGAGTGGAGGCTTGGGGTTATTGGTATCACCTGTTTGAGATTTCCCCTTATCTTATTAGGATGAGCCATCCCCTCCCACCTACTAAGACCAAGATGAAGACCAAGATTACTAAGACTAGAGGTGCTCCAGGGAAAATCCTCATTAGTTTAAGATCCCCCCCGGCCTCTGAGTCATCTGATAATCCCCTCCTCAATCAATGAATACTGTGGTTCTGGCTGCCTCGTGGCCTTTTGTTCCTGTGGACAACTGGTCACCCCAGACCCCACTGCGCCACCATTTTGTCTCTTGCTCTTCTTTTCTGCCGTGAGCTGTCACACCTGGCAGGAGATTGGAGCCCACTGCTGGGGTCCCGGGTAACGGAGTTTTGCTTATGCTGCGTATGCGTGGTCTGTAAAGTTTTTGTTACAGCGTAGCTATCCAAGTGTCTCAAGACGTATTCCTCTGAGGGACGTCTTGGTGCTTTCTGCTGGATGATGGGTTTTGGCTGCTTCTACTCTCAGGCCCTCTTGGAATCCTCCTCTGGGCTTTGCGACACCATGCAGATGACTGCGGCAATGAAGAAGATGCCCAGGTCATGTGACACCCGGAGCAGGCTGAAGAGGCTGCAAAGCGCACGCAGCACACAGGGAGTGCACTCCTGATGCAGGGAGATGGTTCGACGCAGAGAGGCCCATGGGAGGCTGACAGCGGAGGTCTCTTCCCTGTGTTTCTGCCGCCCTGTGCACTGCGCCCAGTGCAGGCAGCATCCGAGGAGCTCCTCTGGGTGAGGGTCACGACACTGACGATGCTGACAGCAGGGTGGCCTGGAGGAGCCAGGGGGAGAGACTGATGGTGCTGGGTGATGCGCTTCGGCCACCGAGGGGCTTGGACTTCTCTCTGAGTTTTGTTGCTCTCAGAAATCCCGCCTGCCTCAGGACTGTCACTGCTTCCCAGGTCGCAGTCCAGGCAGACCCTGACACAGACAGAAAATTTGCTGACTGCCATCAGGAGTCACCACCGTGCTTCCAGCAGTGTCTGTGTGGTGCCTGCACCCTCCTCTTCTGTCCTTCCAGGCACAGCTGAATCCAAAGGTGGAATGAAAGCAACCCAGCCTTTTGGTGGGCTGTGTTGTTTGCCAAGATGCATCCAAGGCATCTAGTTAGGGGGCAGATGATTTGCAGTCTAATTTGGTCCAGGAATCATCTTTGGACAGCGGATCAATATCAGTATATATGTCTGCTCTGGTGAGGAGAAAAAAAAACCCACACAACTTGCTGGTCAGAGGGAAACTGGAGCTGCTGCCTCTCACATATGCTATTGCAATGCTTTCTCTTAAGTCAAAGGGTCGCGTGCCGCTACACTTAGGGGCCAACACACTGCGTCTGTATTCTTGGCTTGAGTTGCCCTCTGAATATCCTCCAAACAGCTGCTTCCTCTCCCTCTACTCAAGCTCATGTTGGGTGAGAGTGTAGCTTCTAGTGCGTCTCAAACCCTGGATTTCCTCAATTTCCTCCCAGTTATACTGTATCTTTTTGTCTTGGATGAAGGGGCCCAGAGGCAGGTGGAAAGGACTGCAGGAAGGACAGCACCAAGGACGCCAACTGACCTTGAGACGCCTGGGGCACTCACAGATTTAAATAAGTATTAAAAACATTTCTTTAAACATTTAGCTTTGGTGGTAGCAGAGGATGTGCAATGGAAATTTCTGCACATAAGAATCACCTTTCCCAGCAACGTTTCAGTGTAAGCTGTGATGGACAAGACTGATTGGGGGAACTTTTCACTGACCTTTAGGCAAAAGTGAAAGCAAGGAAAGCTTTCCGATCCATCTCTTTATGAGCGAGTGAGTATTGTTGGCTGACTCAGACACTGGATGGTTTTCCAGTTCAGGCCAGCAATGCACACAGCGAGACACAGTTCCACGGAGCTGTTCGCCGCAAGAGCTCTTGGTGTGCTTCCTTCTTTGCCCCTTCTCCTCAGAGGACTCAGCTCCGGAGCAAAGAAGCGCGTTTCATCTTGGTTCCTGTCCTGAGGCTTCTCAGTTGTTAGTCACCGCTGTGGTCTGCGATCTGGTGGAACGGGTCTGTCTGATTACACCTGCTGCGCTGCTGTTCTTACTGTTTCATTTGCCTGTTCCCGCGCTCTTCCCTGCCATCTCCCGTCCCTCCAGGCACCTTCTCGTGTACCTCCATGCCACAGCTTCCGTGGACTTAGCTCCATGTGATGGTGTTGGGAGACGGGTCCCACCCCCTAAATGGGCCTGTGCTGTTGACCTGGGAGCTGGCTGCCCCTGAGTGTGGCTTTACTAGATGAGCCAGTGCGCTGTAGCCCACACACTCTCTCGACCCTGCATGGGGTCAGGTGGCAAGAGATAAATATAAATTCTTAGTCCCCGGTATCCTGTTGTAGCAATGCAACACCGACAGAGACCCATGCGGACGGGCTGAACGCCACTAGGCGCCAAAAGCTGACTCTGACCAGCTTCTAACCTGTGCTGTGCACGCCAGCCCTAGGGTGTCTTTCAGAGTGGGGAGACAACAGAGTTTCCTAAGCCATCATGACGTGCGACTCAGGTACCCTGGAGGCTGTCAAGCTTAAACCCATAAAGGTTCAAGATGAACACTGATGGTAGAAATGGTTGGAAATAGAACCAGCAGCAAAACAAGACTGATTTCAGAGGCCCTGCCCCTAGCCACCCCATGGTCTGCAGTCTGGAGGCTCCTGTCCATGCTACCCAGTCCGACACCCCCAGGAGAGCATGGGAGGGGCAGTTGCTGTTGCTTTGTTACAGTGAGGCTTGGTCAGCACAGCAGCCCCTCCCTCTCCAGCTCATGGGCTCACGTGTGTCCCAGGGTGCCCAGGAGCCTCCTGAAGCGTGGGCCGGTTGGCATCTGCCCAGCGCTGAAGCAGAGTCCCCTACCGCCCTGTGTCTCCCCTGAGGTCGACTGGCCCGTGGAGTGGACAAGGCCAGGTGGGTAAGTCAGGTCTCCCAGGGGACCTGAGCAGAACTTCACTTTCCCCAAGAAGTTCTGGGGGTTCCTGCGGAGGGCATGGTTTCCCACATCACCCTGTCCTCATTAGCAGAGCTCACTGGAGTCTCCAGGGAGCCATAGATGACTTCTCTCCTGGCCTCCCGGCCAGCCCGGCTCCATCTATCACCAAATTAATGGCAGCTCATGAGGCCATTGCTGAAGTGACAGGGACATTTAGAAGCTGGAGCAGGATGCGAGGAGAAAGGTTGAAACGTGGACAGAAAGAGAGAGTTCAGAGAGCTGGGTCTGAGCAGGTCAGAGCCCTTCCATGGCTCTCAGGGAGCAAGGACCGTGGCCCGGCCAGGGAGCCGGACCCGTGCGGGAGAGGAGGTCAGGTGAGGGCAGACGTCAAGGAGGATGCAGGAGCAGGACGAACCCGAGGGGCCTGCACGGAGCTTGGGGTCAGGGTGCAGGTCGCGTCAAGCAGCAGACAGATTTGTCATTACGGCTGTTTGGCTTTTGTGGTTTGGAAGTGCATGGGGCTGGAATGATAAAAAGCTAGGGCCACAGTTTTCAAAATGTCTTTCAAGGAGCTCTGATTCAGTGTGAAGTTAATAGGCATTAAGAGAAATACTAAAAGAGATTTGTTAATAAAATAATTTCAGGAACTTCTGACAAAGTTAAATAGCCAAGTGCTTCTCAAGCCCTTAATGTATACAAATATGCATGCGAGCAAAATGTGTCCAGGTGGTTTTCTATTTTGTTGTTTTGAGACAGGGTCTCACTATGTAGCTGAGGGTGGCCTTGAACTCACTATGGAAACTTGTTTGATCTTGAACTTATGGCAAACCTCCTGCCTCAGCCTCCTGAGTGCTGGGATTACAGATGTGTACTACCATGCCTGGCTTCAATGAGGTTTTATGTGAGATACAAGTTTTATCTACTTGTTAAAGGTCTTGTGTAAGAGGCAGAGTTGCTCTAATTTATCTGAACAAAACGTCGTTTTTAAGAGACTACCTCACACTGTCGGGGAACAAATTTTGGAAGTGTTGCCCTGCTGTGTGCAGCACTGCCTCAGAAATCAAGCTGTATGGAGGCCCCAGCTCCTAATGCTTTAGGCTGTGCAGAAAGAGTGAAAGAGCTCACAAAAATGGGTGTCTGCCAACTTCAGAATGTGTCTCTCCCCTGGACCCAGCACTGGGACTAAAAGAAAATGCAAAGTGTTTGAAAACAGAGGTCTAATAATCACTGTGCAGAAGAAAACTGACATTAAATTTTAAATTCAGAGAGGATTCAACATGGCTGAATGAAGGAGGGGTTATGTCGGAGAAAACCAACTGAAAGCGCGGGTAAATGAAAGAAAGGGAAGGACATAATCCTGATGCCAAAATTGGTCTGAAATAAGAGACTTGGAGATCAAACAAACATAGACAAGCAATGGCAAACAGAAACACAGAAATGTCACCCAGGATTTGGAGGAAGATTGACTTCATGTTGATGGGCCCTGAAAGGAATCAATCCTCACAAAAAGGTCAGGCCCTAAATGCTCAGTGGGGGAGGTTTTTAGCGGGTATGCAAGCAAGAAGAAGAGTACTTGGTGGTTACTGATTGGTTCTTACAGTGTGCATCACAGTGACCAGTTGTTTCTAAGAAACAGAAGTAACAGGAACTAAAGTAAGCTGGAGGTCACCTGGGCAACTAACAGAAACTGACGTGTCCTGGCTGGGAGGGACAGGCATTTTCTGCTACAGACATAGAACTTGATGAAATGGCATTCCAGGCCACAGGGCTGCCTGTGGGTTACCCACCCATGGATGGAGCAGGACTGCCATACTGGTAAGTTTTAAAAAATAAAAAAGATAGACTGAAATAGTGGAGGTAACTCAAGCCACATAGGATAGACTTGGGATGTAAGGACTCCTTCTCCTGAGGACACTGCAGCCTGACAGCAAATTTGGGCAGCACACAGAGGAGTGAGTGAGCTGCTTCCTCCACAACAAGCTGCCAGCTGTGTGTGTGTGTGTGTGTATGTGTGTGCATCAGAGCTGCTAACTGGAACCTCTAAGGACTGGACAGGTTAGGGGCTACAGTGGTGGCAGAAGTCAAGGTAGTGAATGGAACAGCATGAATCCTTCTACCCCAAGACCAGTGGCTTGAGAGAAGCACACGAGATTTAAGTAGCCTTGTGCAGTGGCACAGCAAGGAGTGGGAGGTTGGCACTCGCCTTGTGAGAAGGGAGGTTGAAATAGGACTGGGTAGCCTTGAGCGTCAGCAGCAAGATCAGAGAGCCAGCCTGAAGCACCGCACACCACCCTGCAAGAAGTGGTGCAAGAAGACAGAGATTTGCCAGGGGAAGTGGAGCAGAGGAGGTTGTGCAAGGACCAGGAGGAGCCAGCAGTGTGTGGGACTGGGAGCAGGCGTGGGCTGTCTGTCTGAGGACAGCACAGCAACTGGGAGAGCGACACAGAGATAATAAGGGTAGGGAGTGGGTGGGCCATCAAGGGACATGCAGAAAGTTACTGGCTGAAGACTCTGGACCCAGCCCGAACATCCAGAGGCAAGGATTAGCCCCACATCCAGCACTAATTGTACTGCAGGCTTAGCAGGGTTACCCGGCTGTTTGGAGCTCTGGCTTGGACACTACGGCAGAAATGTGGATACCAGAGGAATTTTATTAATTTTTTTTCTTTGTTTCATTTTCCTTTTTCTGGATATTATTATTATTATTAATTATTTGGTTGTTTAGGTTTTTTACCTTTATTCTTGTTCTGTTCATCTTCTTCCTGTCTTTCCTCAATTCTGTCACTCTGTAGCAGAAGATGCTCTCCCCTCCCCCACCAGTACACTTCAGTTTGTCAGTTGTCCAGGTGATAGTTCCGATTACAGTTCCTGTTACATTTGTTTGGTAGAAGTGGCTGCTCACTGTGATGCACATTGTACAAACTAGTCCCCAATTGACAAACTATTTTGCCTCTGTACTTCCTGCCTGCTTATCCCATCTAAGCCCTAGACCACCGGAGATCAGGGCCTGATATCTATCTATCTATCTATCTATCTATCTATCTATCTATCTATATATTAGAAATAAAAGGAGGAAAACATTAACAGATAGACAACCTTTTACAAAGTAGCAAAAGAACAGTACAGACAATACAAAGGTACAAACAAAGTGGTAGGAAATTAGCAATGCTTGTTGTGTTACATATTGATATCTTCAAAGTGGTTTCTCATGAAAACAGATAGAGACATGCAATACTGATCAATCAAGGACTCACTGACAGTTTCTTTCAGCAAAGAAATAGAAGACAGTAGAACAACTATGTTAACTATCATGTATATACATACATACAAAATTTCTCCTTTCTCTTCTATTTTCCCACATCCCAGTTCCCTTTACCCTTGAGTGTTTTCCTATCATTTCACAATGTCTATCATACCTCCAACTTTAAATTAACTCCCTCAGGTTTTACACTAGTGAGACAATGCGGTGCTTGCACATGCAGGTCTGATTTATTTCACTTATGAGTATGGTCTCAAGTTGTGACCATTTATCTATAAAAGCCTTGAGTTTATCCTTCTTTATAGCTGAGTAATATTCCATTATATAAAAGTACCACAACTTTCTTATTCAATCCTCGGTGGATGGACATTTGGGTTGCTTCCACAATTTAGCAATTACAAATTGTGTTGCTATGAACATAGGTGCACTTATATCGCTGTGATATCATGTTTTTAGATCTTCTGGGAAAATACCCAGAAGGGGAATAGCTGGGTTGAATGGGACCTCTAGTCCTAGTTTGCTGAGGAAACTCCAAACTGATTTCCACAGTGGTTTCACCAGTCTGCATTCCCACCAGCAGTGGAGAACGGTTCCTATTTCTCCACAGCCTCGCCAGCATTTGTTATTGGTTGATTTCTTAATGCTAGCAATTCGTACTGGGGTAAGGTGGAATCTCAGTGTTGTTTTAATATGCATTTCTCAAATGACTAATGATGTTGAACATTTTCTCATGTATTTATTTGCCATTTGTATTTCTTTATCTGAGAAGTATGTATTCATCTCAGCTGCCCATGTTTGGATTGGGTCTTTGAATTTGGAGGGGCTGATATTTTTTAATTCTTTATATGTTCTAGATAGAAGCCCTTTGTCTGAGGGACAGTCAACTAAAATTTTTTCCAAGTTTGTGGGTTTTCTTTTTCCTTTGCTGGTGATTTCTTTAGATGTGCAGAAACTTTTCAGTAGGATGAGATCCCAGTTGTTGATTCTTTGAACTATTTCACGTGCAGTTTGGGTTTTGTTCATGAACTCTCTGCCTATCCCCATGTCTTCGAGGTTTTTACCTACTTTCTCTTCCAATAGATTTAGTGTTTCTGATTCAATATTGAGATCTGTGATCCATTTTGACTTGAGTTTGGTGCATGGTGATAGGCTTGGGTCTATTTTCAGTCTTTGGCAGGTGGCAAGCCAATTTTTCCAGCACCATTTATTAAAGAGGGTATCGTTCTTCCAGTAGTTTTTTGGCCCCTTTATCAAAGATTAGGTGGCTGAGTGTGTTTGTGGTTGTGGCTGTTTCTTCCAGTCTGTTCCATTGATCCTCAGTCTGTTTTTTAGCCAGTACCAGGTTGATTTTATGACAGTAGCTTTGTAGTATAATTTCAGGTCAGGGATTGTGATTCCACCTGACTCGTCCTTGTTGCCCAGGATTGCTTTTGCTATTCTAGGTCTCTTCTGGGTTCCAGATGAATTGAAGGCATGTTTTCTTGAGATCTGTGAGGTATGCTAATGGTAGTTTAATGGGAATTGCATTGAATCTGTACAGCAGTTTTGAGAGTATGACCATTTTCACAATGTTGGTTTTTCCTATCCATGAGCAAGGAATATTTTTCTACTTACTGAAATCTTCTTTCTTCTCTTTTTTCAGAGTACTGTAGTTTTCACTGAATAGATCTTTCACTTCTTTTGTTAGATTGATTCCTAAATATTTCAATTTCTTGGATGTTATTGTGAAAGGTATTGTTTCCTTAATTTCTCTCTCAGTCTGTTTGTGTTTGTG